AAATAATCCTTGGTCTTACTGGACAGGGGTTCTATACACAGGGAGTGTAAGAGATGTCTGACAGTAATAAACTTATCACCCTTGGGATATTTGCTGCAGGCAATAGGGATCTTCCCTGCTACAACTTGTAAGGCCAGGCAGCAGGGGATCAACTTCAAAAAAGATCATGATGCAGGTCCAGCCTCTTGAGTGGCACCAGCAAGCCCAGTCACCGTTCTGTGCCTCAGTTTACCCATCATGCTAATACATACATTTTCCTGGGTTTAATTAACATGCTTATGAATATCTAAGCATTTCATCTTATTGTCTTGTATGTTATCTAGCAGGTAATCAGAACAAAACTTCTCATCACAGTGAACACCTTGGGGTCCTGGATGAAATACCTCTGAGTGCTTACAAAGTTTTGGTGGAGTTCCACCAAATATGAATAGAGCCATAGAACACAGAATCGTTTGAATTGGAAAAGACCTTAAATACTAATTCTAGCCTCCTGTGATGGGCAGGGACATATTCCAGGTTGCTCCAAGCCCTGTCCAGCCTGGCCTTGAACACTTCCAAGGATGGGACTTCCACAGATTCTCTGGGCAACCTGTACCTCACCATCCATACAAGGAAGAATTTCTTCCTAATATCTAATCCTGCCAGTTTGAAGCTGTTTCCCCTTGTCCTGTCAGTTTGAAGCCCCTGTCCCAAGTTCTTCTCCAGCTCTCTTGGAGCTCTTTTAGGCACTGGAAGGGGCTCTGAGGTCCCCTGGAGCCTTCTCCTCTCCAGGGGAACACCCCCAGCCCTCCCAGCCTATTTCCAGAGCACAGGTGCTCCAGCCCTGCAAGATCTTTGTGGCCTTCTCTGGATTCAATCCAACAGATCCATGTCCTTCACATTCTGGGGATCCCAGAGCTGGATTTGGTATTCCAGGCATGGTCTCAGAAGAACATAATAGATAGGGAGAATCCTCTCCTCAACCTGCTGGCCTTTGGAAGCAGCACAGAATATACGGCTACCATCTAAATTCAACACTGGGGTAAGCTGCGAGTCAAATATGTCCCCAGGGTACAGCTCAGCACTGTCTCCAAGCCAACATGGTCCCAGAGGAGCACATCTCATCTAATGCCAGCCCAGCACCCTGTCCCTAAGCAGAGACTGAACCCTCCACTCCCCAAGGAGCAGTCTCAGTTTCACTGACAGACCTGCCTGAGAAAGCTGGTGCAGTGATTTCTCTGAGCATCCTGATTTTCTCAGGACGTTTCCATGGGTAGTAAAAAAAATGATGCAGTTAGAATCATAGAATAGCTTGAGTTGGAAGGCATCTCTAAGGGACAACTACTCGGACCCCCCTGAAAAAGAACAGGGACATTTTCAACCATGCTAGGTTGCTCACAGCCCCCTCCAACCTGGCCTTGAACATTTGCAGTTCTTTGTGGGAACAAATAGCACTATGTGTGCTATGTTCTGTTAAAACACCTTTCAAAATTACATCTGAGAATTTTGGAAAATTGTTCAAAACTCGCTGGACTGAGAAGAAATGAGCTGTAAGTGTAGGGCTGTCATGAGAGGCCTGCTGAAAGCCTGGTGGCAGCAAAGCTGAATTCCTGTTATATACACCAGGTTCCTTCTAACCCCTTTCAGCCTCCGCTTGTTTATTATTCTTCCCTGGTTTACAAGCTCCAAAGAGACTTGACATAGATTATTATACACAAGAAGGCTCAATGCATCTTGAGATGGATTATTTCCTTCCTTCAGAGCTATGAGAAGGCTGGAGTTGCTAATGATTTGGTATCTTTTGACATTTCACTGCAGAAGCTTACTTTTAGCACAGTGAGGCTGCAGTGTGGTGAAGTCTGACCAGCACAGGCCCTGTTACCTGCTGGCGTCTCCAGCACTTGGGTCCATATTGGGCTTTGCTGTTGCTGTCATGACTTACACCTGTTTTTTCTGTTTAGAAAATGCTAATTTTGACCTACAAGAGCACTGAGCGTTGTTACAATGTCCATTCCTGTGAGGTGGCCTCATTTTGCACAAGAACTATATGATGAAGAATAAGCAGAAAGAGAAAAGGGTAAAGAAAGGTAACTGGAAAAGGCAAGCAAAAAAACTGCTGAGTTGTTTGATATGGTTGATTTATTTGTTTGCTAAAGTAAATAATGTCTGAGTTATGCAATCCGTGGGCATTTGGAGGTTTGAAATAAAATTTAGGCTTATGGATGTCTGAGACATTTATTGAGACCCTCAGAGCTCAGACCTGCTGGACAAATGGATCTGTCTGAGTCTGCCTGTATTTCACCTACAAAGTGGGGAAGCTCCAGTTTTCCAAAATGAAAACTCTCTTTTTGAGTATCAGAATTTAAGAAAATTGGTAGTGACTCAAAGATGATCTCATATCAGATGGGAAATAAAAGCTTCACCAGGGAGGATTTGTTATTAGCCTTTTTTACAACTCTATTAGTATGTCATGGCTAAGACAGCCCAACCAGGAGAGGCTACACCACAGACAAGGTCATCAGTATTGAGTCAGGAGCATACATGTCACATTTAAGTTATCCAGCCACCAAAATGAATTGGATCCTGTTTAACAAACAGGCTTTGTTAAGATTATCTTGATCGCAAAATTATGTTCTTGAAAATTACATCTGAGTCTTACTGCATTGTACTATCAGAGCCCAAGCATATCATTCTCCTGTGGTGCTGAGGTATTTTATGTACATATTCTGATAAAAAACATCAAACAGGTCTCATTGCAAATTAACATTTCCAGTGTACCACAGAGAATTCAGCCTTCTGGATTATTCCATTTTCCAGTGAAGTACAGATCATAATACAGCATGTGTTCTGTTTTTAAAGCAATTATGCTTAAATATACTTGTTCTTCAGTTTAATTTTCCTTCTGAAAGCACAGCAGTTGTCTTCTATCAACAAATCCATTCCAGAATGTTTTGCTAGCAACTGTTACTAGGGTTTTTTCCATCCAAATTGGAAGTTTGAGAGGGATATGATCAAATCTTGAGCATGGCTAGAGACGTTTGCCAGTAGCTAAAATACTGAATGAGCAAAATATCTGCTCTTGAATGTTTTTAAAACAAGGAAAAGCCATCATAGCTTTAGGACATGGACTACATCTGCTTGTCCTCCTGGAAAAGCAGGAGTAATTCTAGTCTAGCAATGCTTTCAGACAGGAAGGAGCAGTTCTCTGGTCCAAGCAATCCATGACCATAGGACAAGAATGTCTAGAAGAAACCCCACCATTGGCATTATGTGACAGAACCGTGGTGTGGACTCCAAAAATGCAATTATAGAAGGTTTCTTCATGAAACAGAGATCTACATTTCGTGCCTTCTCCTGCATGCCCACTGCTGCCCTGGTAGATGTGACCTGGGGACAGTTTGGCTGTGGGTGCCATGTAGCCCTGGCTCTGTACTCAGAAACAAAAGCAAACTGTGTAAGAAAGTGGCAAAGCAGACGCCTGACCCCATGACTAGCCCCTAAGGTTGAGGCAAGGCACCATTTAATTTTGATTTAATTGTCTTGCCTTTAATTATTTTACCAGTCACTAGAAAACTCTTGCTTTTTCCATTCTCTCTCTTTTTTTTTTCTCTCATTTTATCTCATTGCAGGGGGTCAAGCAGTGTAAACAAGCCTGTGCACAGCTGGTTGCCAAGATTCTGGGCTTGTCACCCACCCAGTGGATGACACACATGTTCCTGTTCCTTAACCAGTTAAAAACCATAAGGATTGTTACTAGTCAGCATTTTAGCACGGCCCATTCTCTCTGTGCACACATATCTACATGATTCATGAGGTCTGGATTGCTTCTGAGGTCTGCTCCAAGAACTGTTTCAGGTGGCTCTGATGTTATCAGAAGTAGCTGGAGAAACAAAGGCCTTTCTACAGAAAAATTGGCAGGTAAGGAAATAAGGAAATTATTTCCAACTCATTTGTTTTAAGGTATATTTATCACACTCAAATCTAAACATATTGATTTATATTATGGCTTTGGCATCATAAACATTTGACAGGATTATTTATTAACACTGAGCTGTTCTTTTTTGGCTTTCCAAAACAAACTTCTGAGGAAATATTTAAACACACACACACACTACACAATTGCCTGACTGCAGCTCACCTCCTCAGCACAACTGGATTGTATGAATATCCACATCTTCCATAAAGCATTCCAGCAGCCAGGGGTGCAGACAGATCACAGAATCAGGCTTCTGAGCTAAAGCTGAAAAAGGACCTGACTGCTACTTCCAATTTGGTATTTTACAGGGATCCTTCAAATTCCTGTGGCCGAGGGCTATGAACATTCACATTAGTGCTGGCAATGTCCCGTGGGCCTCAAGTCTCCAGCAGAGAAACTACACCAGCCTTGAAGCTGTCATCCTGCTGAGCCCCCTGTGCCACATCTGAGGCAAAGCAGAGCTCTCAGGCTGCTCCTTCCTCGAGGACCTGCTCCAGGGAACGCTGTACTTTGAGCACAGTTATTGTACTTCTCTGGGCACAGTTGTTATGCTTGGCTTTTCCCCAACCAGAAGGTAGTAATGGAACTTTCTAATGCTGCCATGTGTGCCCCCATATCCCACAGGCCAGTGACTGAGCTGGACAGGTTTCCTGCTCATTTGCCTACCCCACTGAAGAGATGCTCAAAAAACTACCCCAAAAGTCAAATGTGAGTTTAAGCTCCTCAAAGGAGTGTAGGGTATGTCTGAGAAGACAACTCTCCACAGTTCTCTTTCACTGTCAAAAAACCCAATTCACTGTCCTGATTTATATAAAATTGGGCTAGGGTGACATAGCCACCTAATCTAGAAAAAGATTCAGAGCTGAAAATCCCAGCTAAAGACTCCCAGATAGCCATAGAATCATAGAATCACAGAATCATTAAGGCTGGAAAAGACCTCCAAGATCAGCAAGTCCAACCTTCAACCAAATCCCAGCAGGACCACTAAATCATATTGCAAAATGCCACACCTAATTTTTCTTTTAGTTTTTATACTTTGCTTTTAAACACCATATCTTCCTTCATCAAGGACCAGGAATCTCGGAGCCCTGAGTCTTGCCCATCTTCCTATTTTCTACCAGTTTGCCCAGGTATTTTTAAGCTCTTCTTTCTGTTTTGGGTTTATCCTATCCATTCATCTAATCTGCTTACAGAGATCCTGAGTGTCTGATGCCTGGAACAGCCTGAGTCTGCACACAGACCTAGTTTTAAGTGACTTTTCCAAGAGTAGGAAGAACATGAATGCAAGAGCCGGGAATGGAAGCCAAGTTTCTTGTTTCATAAACTCCTGAGTTAACCACTTCTGCTGAAAAGAATCAAGCACAAAAAGAGCACAATAAAGGGGAGTGAGAAGAAAAGCTTTCAAAGCACCAAGCCCAACATCACCCATTCAGATTTCTTGAATGTCTTGTGTTGCCAAACATTTATGGCTTTGAGCACTGCTGGATTTCTCTAAGCTGGTGGATAATTTTCCCCACAAATTTTATTACTGTAGAATTTGATTTTGTTGCCATTATGCATCATGGTCAGCCCCACTTTTAGTCCCCAAGGCTGAAAAGAGCCCTTAAGCTCTAAGGGGACAGAAGGCTGCCAAGTGCAAAAACTTATTTTGTTTCCTTTTCCTTGAAAATAAAAGGAAATGAGCAGATGAAATGCACATTACTCCCTCAGTTTTTTCTTTTTAATGAAATTTTCCTTCCCCTGTGATTCTCACTTTTCCCCGCTGTACTACCCAGGACAAGGTAACACTGACTATGAACCAGATCCAGTGAGAAATTCTCCCCCTCAGACCATTTTCCTGCTAGAAAAGGCAGGTTTACCTCTATCTGAATAGTTCCTGGAGGTGGTTTGGTTTTGGCAAATCCTGCAGGAGACCTAAACAAGAAGTTGCACTTGAAATTTGTGTATTTTCTCTTGGCTCAGAAGGATGCTTCTGACTTTACAGCTGCAGATTTAAGAAGGTTTGATGAGGACCCTGGTGCTCAGTGACCACAGTCTGTGGATCTCTCAGAAAGGAAATCTGGTGGCAAATAGGACCGGGTCTATATTTGATGAGGTTTTTTGAGGTAAAAAAGAAAAATTAAAGAATATCAAGATGGGCTTTTTTTCCATAATTTAATATGCATGAAAGTAATTTCCACAACAGTTGCTACAATGAGAGTCTACACATTAAAAAAAAAAAAAAAAAAATCTACTCTACTTCTTGGGGAAGGAAAAATACCTAAATGAATAAATGCAACAGCAGTGAAAAAGAAGTAGTGTCCTGGCTTCTGATCAGCAAATGGAAAAAGAGATATATAAAAAAAGGTGGCTCCTGTAAAACACAGGGGAGAAGGAAACTCCAGTAAACAAGACAAAACAGACATAATTGGAAACAGGCCCCCTCAGCAGCATTCTGGATTGGAAGGCAAGTGGAGAGAATGGGAGAGCTGCAGAGAAGATTGGAAGAACTGAAAAACTCAAAGAAAACCAAGGGGAATTGAATAAATACAACAGTCTGCTTATAAAAGTAAACAGAGGGGGAAGGGAGAGCATGCAAAGGGAAAACAGATGCACAGTGAGACAGTGCTCAAGAGACAGGGGAGATGAAAGCTGTCTAAAACAAGATGGGAATTCGGAGGGGAAAAAATGAACAACCAAAAAATCCAACAGAAGTATTAGTAGCAATGCCTTGGTGACCTTCGCACAGCAAGATGCCTCTGTTTGTACAGGCCCAGGGAAGGCTGGGGACATTTTATTGTCACAGAAGGTTTACCATGAGGAGCACACCAAGGAACTGAAAATGCAGTAATGCTGTCTTACTCAGGATTGGTTTTAAAGTTTCCTCTCTTCTTTGTCTGAGTCTTACAGATCTTGAGATGGAACAGATGAGGAGAAACTCTGTAAACAGGTCAGGATACCTTTCTGAGGTCTGGCTTCCACCTAGAGGATCCAAAGAGGGTCCTACCCACCATCAGAAGCTGAGTATCCTCTTCCAGTGGGCTCTGGGATCACAAAAATCCCATAGGCTTTAAGCCAGGTCTACAAAATCATTATTTCCATGAATAGGTTAGGTTATTTGTGGGAGTGTGTTCTTCCTGCTAAATAGATGCACAAAAATAACATGTTACAGAAAAAGTCTGCTCTCTGGCTTCTGTGGAACCTGTTGGAAACCCACAGTGGTTCTGAGTACTGCAAACAAGAGCAGAAGGTGTTCTGATGTGAGTAGTTACTCTGAGCTTTAAATCAAAAGGATTAGAGTCCTATAAGCTTATTCTGGGAAGTTGTGTAAGGAGGTTTAAAATATTGCTCTTGCAGCTGTCTGTCCTTGTTCTCAGGCAACTCATTTTGGTGAGTCAGTAAAAACTCCTGCCTGGATTGCATAGGACAAGGGGAATGGCTCTAAAGTAAAGGAGGAGAGATTTAGATTAAATATTAGGAAGAAACTGTTCTCTATGAGGGTGGTGAGGCACCCGTTGCCCAGAGAAGCTGTGGCTGTCCCATCCCTGGAAGCATTTAATGCCAGGTTGGAGAGGGCTTGGAGAAACCTGGGATAGTAGAAGTTGTCCCTGCCCATGGCAGGGGTGGAATAAGATGATCTTTCAAGTCCCTTTCAGCTGAGACTATTCCATGATTCTATGATTCCATCACTCCATGATTCCGTGACTCCATAATTCCATGGCTCTATGATCACAGCAAGGCATGATAGAAAGGATCTCTTTTGCCAAACTCTGTGGCATGTGTTTGACTTGCTCCCTTTCAGAGTTAGGGGATTTCCAGAACTTTGGATGAGTCTTATTGACAGCACTGGCAAAAGAGAGCAAATAACTGGGTCTGGGAGCCAGAGGGAAAGCTCTTGCTAAGAAGGAAATATCTTGCTCGGAATTATGATTTTGGATTAGTACTATAGCATTAAGTGATGCTGCTGTGTTATTCCCATGTAGTAAAAAAGCAAAGGATTTATAGATCAGACTTTTATCCTCTTCCAGCCTTCATCTCTCCAGTTTGTCTCATTGATTTCAAAGGTTACATCTCTATTAATAAAAGAAAGACTGCCAGGATTCCTTTGTGTGCTCGGAAACTGAAACTCTGGTTACCTCCACCCTGTTAAACTCTGTCAGCTTTAAAACTGCATCCAGCCATCTATTGGAAGTGGCTCTAGGAGTGTGCCTGTTTCTGCACCACCCTTGGGAGCAGCAGGAGAGACACAGCAGCCTGGCAAGGGACACTCTGACAGGGATCACCATCAAAGAGATCTGTCCAAGTGTCCCTAATGTGACCAAGATAAAGAGCAAACTGTCCTGTGACTGCTCATCTCTCTCCATTAGTCCTCACTCTGCTGATATCAAAACCAATAGAAAATGTCTGTACCTGTCAGAAATACACCCCAAACCTGGTACAATTTCCTTCATTAAATAAATAAATAAATAAATAAATAAATAAATAAATAAATAAATACGTCCTTTTAAGACAAATCTCCAGACACATATATCATTTCCTCACCTTGTAAAATTTTACTGGTTTGCCCCAAACTATGGTGTTTGCCAGGAGAATTTTGGAATAAAATGAAATCTCTGTCCAAACACAAAAATGGGTAAAAATTCCAGTTTCTCCTTTCTGTTTTGTTTAGAGAAAGTCATAAGTTTTTTGTCAGAACAAATTCCCTCATAGTCTGTCTCCTAGAAATGAATTTTTGGATCACTTTTATTAACAGGAACAAGCTTCATATCCAACAGCTTTTGGATTTAGGATTTAGGTGTGGGCCTATTAACAAGTTAGGAATGCACATGATGCTAGGTTGAAGATCCAGACTTGCCCAAATGTTCAGGGAGTGATCAGATCTGTGGTTTTGGTTCAGCTCCATCCCTGGTTTAGAGGCAGGGAAGCAGTTTGGACTTTGCTGATAAAAGAAACTCACACTTGCATCATTTTATACTGGTAATATGCTAAATACACCGCAGCAGATTCATAGGGCAAGGAAGCATTTCAAGCATTGCAGTGAGTTACTGAAAGGAACCATAGGAAATATATACCAGAAGATAATTTTTTCCAGTTCTTTTCCAGCTCTGCACCCTGCCTGTGTTAGTTCTTGTGCTGGCTGGCTTATTTTCACTCAGAACCATTTTGGAATCATTATAAAACACAACTGGTGTGCCACAAGGAGGTGGGGAGTCTCTTGGCTTATATTTTGCAGATGTCCCTGATTTAACTGGACCAGCAGGTGACCAAGATTCCAAAGTCACCTTGTGATGGTGATCAGCTCATGAACATGGGCAGGTCACAGCAACACATTGAGCCCTGCCCTCGGCCTCTTTCCATCAAGCCTGACATGCATATTAGATGCTCTCTGCCTGAAATCTGTCCCTTGAGGTTGAAGTTCAAAATCTAATAGTGCCTCCTGGCCCTAAAAATATGTGTCAATCCATCTAGGCAGTGGTTTTGCTTAAAGGTAAAGCAATACAAGGAGTTTTTAGGCCTGGATGGAACAATCGGCGATTATGGCATTTATCTTGACATTTATTAGTTGTTGGCAGTGCTTCCAGAGAGCTAAGCACATTCCAGGCAGCTACACAGCATCCTTTGGCTGCACCAGCTGGTAGTTAAGGACATGCAAAGACTAAAGGAAACAGCAGCAATAAAAAGGTGTTTTTAAAACTGGGGGGCTTTCCCTTTGTCATTAAAGCTCATTTGAGTCACTACTTGTCAGAGGGTGGCAGTTTCTCAGAACGGGAAATATCCATAGGGAAGGGAGCTGCAGGATGACCTAGTTGGGCATGGTGAGGTCAGTTGGAGCCCGGGCTTGACCCTCTGCAGGTGTGAGGGGTCCCATAACCAACAAGGACTTTTCTATAATCTGGGAAAAAAACCTATTGCTTGGACAAAGAGCTTTGGTGACAGTGACAGAAGTTGTGACCAAGAAGGACCAACACCAGTGGTGCCGGGACCATCTGTGATGGCTGCTGATCCTGAAACCATGGGAATACAGCAGGTCATTTTCCACTAGAATCCAGAATCCAGAAAGGCTGACATTCTTTGGGTGCTCCTGCCCATCAGTGTCTGGTGCTGTCCTGGAAGCAACGATGGAGGAAGGATTTGGATGTCCCTCGGCTCTGCCCAGTCTGATAAATCACAGAAACACAGAATCCTAGAATGTTTTGGGCTGGAAGAGACCATAGAGATCATCTCATTCGAGATCCCTGCCACAGCCAGGGACACCTTCCACTATACCAGATTGCTCAGGGCCACATCCAACCTGAAATCCCAAATGACATCCTGAGACAAATGAGCATTACATGGCAAAGTGAAGTCACTGGAACTCAGTTTTGGCTTCTCCAGCATGGACTGAGTAATTTCTGAGCAGAGTTTTCACTCACTGAGCTATTCTTTAGCCTATTCCCTTGGGGGCTGCCATGTGACAGGAAAAAGCCTTTTCCCTTCTTCCAGAAGAAAAGTTTCTTCCAGCAGATAAGAGAAAATTCTCATTGCAGTGACTCTTTGTGGCAGAGACATAGTGAGATGGATGGCATAAAGAAAAGATCAGGCAGCTAAACATATCACTTTAGTCTTTCAATACGTACTTAGTGATTTGGGGGTTTCCTTGTAAGTCCAGAACCTTAAATTCAGCTCTGAACTCTTATCTGCCTGACTTGGGTGGGCCTTTTAACCTGTCAGGGCTTTTCTGTTTGGAAAGTATGAGTAACAATACCAGGTAACCTCAGTAAATGCAGAAAATGCACCCCTGAAGTAATGTGCAGATCAGAGAGAACAATATCAATGTCCAGAGATTGCAAAAGACTGTGTAGAAATGGTTTTAAATTATGATGTATTACTTTCTTGGGGTAATCCTATATTTCAGAGTTATCTCATACCACAACCTGTGTCTCTTCAGAATAAAGCAGTGACAACAAAACCCAGATCAGATCCTAATACACAGATCTCCGTCATTTCCAATAAACTTTAAAAATTATTTTAATTATTTATACACATTTATTTGCAATAAAGCAGACTGCTACCAGTGCACATCCTCTAACAGACCCCCAAACACGGATGTTCTCAACATAAACTTCTTATAAGGAAATTTATGATAACTACATAGGGTTAACCAACCACCTGTGGCTGCTCTGAGTGCACATGGCACAGCACAGGTGTGCTGAAAGGGGCCCTGGATAATCCCTTCTCCAAAGATGAACCTCTCTGCTTCCTTGGATGAAGGCAGCAGCCACTGCTGCCCAGAACTGCTGCTCCAGGCTGCTCCCAAACTGCCAAAGGCATTGGCTGTGTCTCTCTGTGCTCCTTTTGTTTGCAGCCATAAAGAGCAGGAGATAATCACAGATGTGTCAGCCCAGATCCAATATCACCTTTTGGGTCCTAAATCCATTCTGTTAAGAAGGCAGAAACCTAAAGAGGCTGCTGAGTCTGGGTTGGGGCACTCCCACTGAACAGCGCAGCAGCCCCAAAAGGGTGGAAATGGCTCAGCTTGAAAGTTTTACAAGTGCTTGGGAGGAATGAGGGCTTGTGAGAGCCAGACAAGATGCCTGGGAGCTTAAACAATGCTGAGTGTGGCTCCAAAAGCACTCCCTGTGGACAGCCCATCCTTTCAGCACAGCCAGAGGTTGCCCGCACGTCTTTAGAGCCCGTTGCACGCCCCGCGTCACTCTGATTGTGCACAGCAGCTGGGAGCTGAACAAATAAGCAGCCACTGCTGTGCTGGATGGAGGAACATCCTGGTGCTGCTATGGCATTCCTTGTCGAGTTTTCAGGCTCAAATGGATCCCACATGGGGGGAGTGCATCGGGCTCTGTTGGCAGGCGGGAGATTTGGAGGCTGGAGCACTCCCAGTCTCCTGCTTGTGGAAAAAAAGCATCTTTTATGTTTCCTTGCCACCAGGACAAGGGGCTGGAATAAATAATGAAGTGACCCAGCCACTCCCCTGCTATTATAACAAGCAGCTGGGGGGCCACCAAACCCGGGCACCGTGCTCGTCAAACAGGCGCTTTCCCTCTTGCCTTTTATTGGGATTCACTGGTGGCACTCTGGGGGTTTGTCGCTTCTTTCTTTGCCTCCCACTGCCCAGAGACACTACCAGTAAAACCCCAGGGTGATATTAAAAAGGGGAGGCTGGGCTGGCAGCCAGCTGTTGCTACCAGATGTGCCTGTGAGCATCGCAGAAAAAGCCAATTTAGCCGATCCAGCCTCCTCGCAAAGTGGAGCCCATTGTTTGAAGGGGCACAACAAGCAACTGCAGGAGGTTGAATAAATCCCAGGGCACAACTCTTTCAGGCTGGGGAAAGCTCCCAGAAAGGTGCTTATTGCTGCGAAGAGAGGCTGGGGAGCTCTCCAAGCAAATAGTAGGTGCTCAAACACCGGCACTATGGCAACAAAAATAAACTTTTACATTTTTAAACT